GGAGCCAGGCAGAAGGAGAAATCCCACACAAGACAGGCTCTAGAGCAATGTGGATATCCTAACTGGGCCTTCCTGAAAGCAGAGAAGAAACCCAAACAGGACTCCAGTCAGCCAACAGGTGAAAAGGAGGAACCCAGACCAGTGGTCATTCCGTATGTTGAGGGGGTATCAGAGAAACTGAGACGTTTATTTTCTAAACATAACGTCCCAGTGGCTTTTAAACCCCAAAATACATTACGGCAAAGACTGGTTCATCCCAAAGATCCAGTCCCCCGGCACAAACAGAGTAATATTGTGTATGCTGTTCAGTGTCAGGAGGGCTGTGATCAGTCTTACATCGGGGAAACTAAACAGCCACTGGCCAAATGGATGGCCCAGCACAGAAGATCAACATCATCAGGCCAGGATTCTGCGGTCTACACTCATCTCCAGGCCAGCGGTCACTCTTTCAGGGATGAAGATGTTCACATCCTGGATAGAGAGGAACGATGGTTTGAGAGAGGAGTAAAGGAGGCCATCTTTGTGAAAAGAAATGGTCCATCATTAAACAGGGGTGGAGGCCTCCGGGTTCAACTGTCCCCCTCTTACAATGCTGTGATTGCTAGTATCACTCAGCCCTCTGTGAGTAGTAAACAGCCATCAGTGTGCTAATGATCCATTGTTAGGCTGATGGTCCTTCTTGAGCATGTGATCAGCTGGTTTTGGTTGTCAGCAGCAAACTGGTTGATCCACTCTGAGAAGGTGCTATTTAAGAGACTGAGCTGTAAACAGCTCCTCAGACTGAGGAAGTCTCTTGGATGAGAGACGAAACGTTTCTAGATTTTTTTTGCTTTGTTTTGTTTTTTGTTTTTTTGAATCTACAGAGATTGTTTGATTGCACCTCGAGGCTCTGAGCTGTCAGTCAGCATCAGAAACTAACAGAGCTTCAAGGCTTTTACGTGAGATCCGAAGTTTCTAGATGGTGTGCCGCTGAAGTTTAGATTTGCATCGGGGTAGAAGAATGGTATTTTATTAAGATTTCAGCACAAGGTTTGTGAGGTTGTTAACATATGGTTAGTTACTGCAGTAGGAGCAGATGGCAGTTTAATGTAATTTCACAAACAGAACTGTAAGGAATTTCAAAATGGCACAAAAACAAATAATTTGCGGCTGGAGATGTGTTTCATAGATTATCATGTGGATACTAAAGTTTGTTTGGGATTAAATAGGCTGAAATCTGTAGTTAATGTCATTATTTATTATCACCACCTACAAAATGTTTACATCTGTAGAACTATTCTTTCTGTTTCAAAGCATGTGAGAATACAGAAGAGTGTTTTATATGATAAAGTAAAGTGAAAGTATTGTTCAGGCATCATATTTGTTGGTTGTGTTGTAAGTGAAAAATATCTTTACATACTCTGAGGTCTGTTTTGCAGTAATTATAATCACTTTACCAGGATTAAGAATCTAAATATTCTCAGAAAACTGCGGTTCAGAGAGAAACACACTGCACTTGGCATTTTACCTTTATAAACACTCAGTTTGCATCGAGACCTAACTCCTGAATGTCCCATCTTCTTCTTCTTTCGGCTTTTCCTTTTTCAGGGGTTGCCACAGAGAGTCATTTTCCTCCATACCACTCTGTCCTCTGCATCCTTTGTCCTCACTCCAACTACCTCCATGTCCTCTCTAACTGCATCCATATATCTCCTCTTTGTCTTTTTCCTGGCAGCTGCGTTTCTAACATCCTTCTACCAATATACCCACTGTCCCTCCTCTGGACATGTCCAAACCATCTCAGTCTGGTCTCTCTGACTTTATCTCCAAGTTGTACCTCTGATGATCTCATTCCTAATCTTATCCAGGTGAAATGCTGCTTTTTTGTTCACTAGTGAACACCTTTTTTTTTTTTACACGCACGCGCGCACACACACACCTACACACATCATTGTGTCCCCCCCACATTACGGACGCTTCTGACGCCGTTGTCTCACCACTGTCTTGTAAACTTTTCCTTTGACCTTTGCTGACACCCTTTTGTCACAAATCACTCCTGAAACTTTTCTCCATCCACTCCATCCTGCCTGGACTCTCTTTTTCACCTCTTTACCACACTCCCCATTTTCCTGGACAGTGGATCCCAAGTACTTGAAGTCCTGCACCTTTGTGACCTCTGCTCCTTGTAGCCTCACTGTTCCACCAGCCTCCCTCTCATTCATACATGTACTCTGTCTTACTACGACTGATTTTCATTCCTCTTCTTTCAAGTGCATAGCCTCCACCTCTCCAAGTTCTCTTCCACCTATTCTCACCACAGACCATAATGTCATCTGCAAACATCATAGTCCACATTGATTCCTGCCTGACCTCATCTGTTAGTCGGTCCATCACCAGAGCAAACAAGAAGGGGCTCAGAGCTGATCCTTGATGCAATCTCACCTCCACCTTGAAGCTATCTGTCACTCAGCACATTTCACCACTGTCCTGCTGTCCTCATACATGTCCTGTACCAGTCTAACATACTTCTCTGCAACTCCAGATTTCTTCATACAATACCACACCTCTTCTCTCGGCACCCTGTCATATGCTTTTTCTAAATCCACAAAGACACAATGGAGTTTTTTCTGATCTCTGAACTTCTCCATCAGCATTCTCAAAGCAAAGATGGCTTAGGTGGTGCTCTTTCTTGGCATGAAACCATACTGCTGCTCACAGTCACCTCTCATCTAAGTCTTGCTTCCACAACTCTCTCCCAGATCTTCATCGTGTGGTTCATCAACTTAATTCCCTGTAGTTGCTACAACTCTGTACATCACCCTTGTTCTTAAAAATGGCCACCAACACACTTATTCTCCATTCCTCAGACATTTTCTCACCCTCAAATATGCCATTGAATATCTGGGTCAAAAACCTCACTGCCACCTCTCCAAGACATTTTCAAACCTCCACTGGTATGTTATCAGGTCCTACTGCCTTCCCCTGCTTCATTATTTTCAGAGCTTTCTGGACGTCACTCTCACTAATCTTTCCCATTTCCTGGTCCACAGTTTCTATCACCTCTACTCTTTTTTTTTCATTCTCTTCATTCATTAGCTCCTCAAAGCACTCCTTCCATCTTCCCGCCACACTCTCCTCACTTATTAGAACATTACCATTCCTATATTTATTAAACCTAATCTGCTGCACATCCTTTCAAGCCTGATCCCTCTGTCTCACCAATCTGTACAAGTCCTTCTCACCCTCTTTAGTGTCCAGCCTCCCATACAACTCATCATACACCTTCTGCTTTGTCTTAGCTACCTCCCTCTTTGTTCTATGTTGCATCTCCTTATATTCCTGTCTCCTCTCTTCAGTCCTCTCACTGTCATATTTCTTTTTGGCTAACCTCTTTCTTGAATAGCTTCCTGCACTTCACTATTCCACCACCAGGTTTCCCTATCATCCATTCTCTGTCCAGATGACACATCAAGTACCTTCCTACCTGTTTCTCTAATTACTGTTGCTGTAGCCCAGTCATCTGGAACATCTTTCTTACCACCCAGAGTCTTTAACAGCTCCTCTCTGAAGTTTGCACAATATTCTTCCATCGTCAGCTTCCACCATTTGGTCTTCTTCTCCGATTTTACTTTTTTCTCTTCATCACAACAGTCATTCTACACACACACACATTCTACCAGACATCCGATGCTGTCTGGCCAGGCTCTCTCCTGCCACAATTGTACAGTTCCCAATCTGTCACAATGTACAGTCCAATAAATAATAAAAAATCCAGAGCAATTAGAGAACAGATTTTTTTTAACAATATGTACATCCCCATTGTGCTTAAATAGTGTACATAAAAACTTGGTGTCAAAATCATAGTTTAGAAAATATGAGGAAAGAAGTTTTTATTTAAGTTGTTCATTAAACATGTCATGTCATGTTCATTAAACATTGTGTAAATCACAATGAAATCAGTGATTTTAGACATTCTAGCAACAAAATAAAAAGAAAAAAAAAAGAAATTTGTTTTAAGGAATTTTAGAAAAGTTTTACATCTATTAGTTTATCTAGTGTATAACATTCATATTTCTATTGCTGGTTTACAGTACTCTGCAAACTTAAAAGTGTAAATCAAACATACTGTTATTTTAATGTACCATAAAGTAAATCAAATTAGAGCTAATACAACATTAAATAAGTGTTTCTAACATTGTTCAATAGAGTATATCAAGCCTAAATGTATTTCATCAGCTTACTTTTGAGTTGATAGACAAATTAGTATATATTTATATATATTTCAGTGCACAACAGTCAACAATGAAACTGTTTTTTTAATAATAAAAAAAACCCTAATTGAGTCATAACAGTTCTGCCAGAGAAACATCCCAAAAACTATTTGGATTTCAGCATTTACTTTCTGTATGCACACTGAATCCATTACACTGATCATGCTGTGTTCATCAAAATGAGTTACTAAAAGTCAAGCACAGTGACTACTAAGTTCAGAAAGCTTAACAAAGCTGGTATATTGTGTCAAAACAAGTAAGAGGTATAAAAGTAGTATTCTAAATTAGATATCCGAAAGTGTTGGTTCATCGATCGCCTCCGTCTACGAAAACCAAAGAAAAAAAAGGTATATATTACAGAAAAAACAAAAAAGGAATGTTCACTTTTACATAAAGAAGCAAGTATGTGTATTTGTGCTATTTTAACAATCATGTCTCTGTATCTCTCACAAGAAGAAAGAGAGTCTCTATCTACCACATGTAATAGCTGCGTGAGGTGTCCACTTGACTGGGTTTTGCTTCCGATGTGCCTTCCTTCTCCTTCTCATTGTCTGCCTCCCACAAGTTAATAAGAGGAGGATACAGCTCATTGAGTGGTATAGATGAGGTTTTCTGCATGTACTTTTTTAGAGAGTGGTGATAATTTTTCCTTTTCCACCTCTTCGCAATGTACACACTCAGTAAAACCAAGCTGATGATTGCAAACATTGTTCCCATGACAGCTGCAAGAGCAGTGTTGGTCCCTTGATCAGATATTTCCACAGTAAAGGGCGCTTGCTTTGTTGTTACATTCACACATGACTTTTGTGTTTGATGGTGGATGTTGGAGACAGTGAGGCACACCTCATACTCTGTCGCTGGTTGTAGATGAGTGAGGTTGTACTCGTGAACATCCACGGGAACCCTGGCAGTGTAAGTAATATGTGGGTTGTCAATTTTCATTGTTGCAGATGACCACTTGAGATTAGACATCATCACATTTGAGTTAATTTTCCAGGAGACAAGGATCGAGTGGGATTCCGTCTGCTTTACATAGATCTCCATGAGCTGTGTGTTGTCCAATAGAGTCCCGTTCACCTTTATGGCTGTTACTCTTGTGTCAACTCCATCTGAGTTTTGAGCCACACAGGTGTATCTGCCAGAGTCTTCAACTTGGATAAGAGAAATTCTCAACGTCCCTTCTTTGCTTAGACTGTATTTGTCAGAAAAAGTGTCCGTCGTGATTTTGTTTCCCATTGGTGTCACCCAATAGATTTCAGGGTCTGGCTGGGAGATGGCTCTGCAGTCCAAGTCCAAGGTCATACCAATTTCCAAACTCAGATGGCTGGGGAAGGTATCATGAGAAATCATGGGCAGGCACTGATTTGCAGTTTTTTTCTCCAATACCTCTCGCACGCGCATACCCCTGACCTCTGCTGGCATTGCACAAAACATGGCTACAGGCTCCATAAATCGGACTACAGTTTGGTTGGAGCCCATCCACTGGATGACACAGTCACAGCGCAGAGGGTTGCTGTGGATGCTGATCTCACGCAAGTTGGGGAGGGAGTCTATGGTAGACTGATAAAGGGCATTCAGAGCATTGCTGTTCAACATTAGACTCTCCAAAGCTGGAACATCACGAAAAGCCTGACGACTGATGTAGGAAAATTTGGGATTGTTTGTAGCCTCCAGCTTGGTGAGCTCAGGAAGGTTGTCCAAAGCATAAGGATCAATAGAAACCAGCTCTCTCATATTGTTTACACCCAACTCTTTCAGTCGAAGCATGTTTTTGAAATCCCCCTCTTGAATTTTATGTATAGGGTTTTTGTTTAAATCAAGGAACTTGAGGTTAGGTAGTTTTTGAAGGGCTCTTTGGGGTACTTGAACCAGCTTGTTGTCATAGAAAGAGAGGCTTTCAAGATTGTCAAGTCCCACAAAGGCATTACTTGGGACATCTTTTAAATCCATTCCAGCTAAAACCAGGCTTCTTAGATTGTCCAGTGGCTTGAAATTAAAGTCTGTAATTCCATCAACAGGATTCTCTCCAATCATGAGGATCTCCAAATTGGGTGTAGATTTAAACCACTGGCTGTTGATGGTTTGGAGCTTGTTAGAGTTGAGGTGAAGCCTGAGGAGGTTATGGAGACCAGAAAAAGCATCAGCGGAAATGGTTCTGATCTGATTGTGGTTGATATACAGTTCCTGCAGGTTGCTGAGATCCTGCAAACAGTAATCAGGCATTTCCCTAATCTGGTTCTCCTCCAAATGAAGTGTGGTGAGCTGGGACATATTATTGAGACCAACATCTCCAATGGTACTGAAGTTGTTTTGGGAGAGGTCCAGTTCTGTCAGGTTGAAGAGCTGCTCTAGCTCTTCACTGGTTTTTGCAATGTAGTTGCTCTGTAAGAGGAGAACCTGAGTTTCACTGGACAAGTTCCCAGGGATCCGTGTTAGGTGAAGGTCATTGCAGTCCACAGTTATGGCTTCTCTGTAGGTGGACTGTGGGGTGAACCAGGGTCGGATCTCGCACACACACAGCTGGGGACACTCATTGCTATGGACGCAAGATAGTCCTACACACACGAGAAGCAGGCCAGCAAGCACCTGGGAAGAGCTGTCTAACCTCCATCTAGCCATGCTGGGAAGGGACAGAAGGATGGTCAGATGATTTTGGAGAAGGGTGCGTAACAGTCATCAATTAAATTTCCACGGATGATCAAAATGGAGACAAGGGTGCTCGTGTGTTAGGGGTACAGCCAACGATCCTGGTATTTCAGTTTCTGAAAAAGAAAAGACAAAAAAAACCCATTTGGATTAGTGTTTCAGACTAACAGTTGGGTAATAAGCAACCAAAGTCCAAAGACAAATTTAAAACATCCTTTAAAAAGCTAAGGAAATCATTGCTATAAAAGACTCCAAATGATTATTGTAAAGATTGAAAAACTTTTAATCAAAGTCTTTTTTATTGTTTTTTTTCCCTCAGAACACACAAACACACACACACAAAATAAAAACCGCACACAACAAAATCCCCTCTCATTAGCCACACAGACATGCACACGTCAGAGAGGCATTGACATATTTTCTATATAAAATGCAAATGGCTGCCAAGTGTCCCAAAATTTCTCAACAGATCCTTTCAGAATATATCTAATCTTTTCCAAATGAATATGACACATAACTTCTCTTATCCAGTGTTCATATGCCGGGGGATGCAGATCCTTCCATCTACATAAAATGAGTCTCCTGACTAGAAGTAAACCAAAAGCAATCATTTTCCTCTTGTACTTGCTAAAGGACACATCCACAAGGACCACCCCAAACAATGAAATGAATGGTGATGAGTGCACAGTTTTTCACATATCCCAGGGGTAGTATCAAAAGTAGACTGTCAATAGTCCCACAGCTTTGGACAAGTCCAGAATGTGTGTAAGAGTGTAGCTGGAGTTTGTTTACAATGATTACATGCAGGATCCAGGTCAGTTTTGATCTTGGCCAGTTTGTCTTTGGACCAGTGCAGCCGGTGCACCACCGTGAATTGAATTACAGCATGTCTCAGACAGATTGAGGATGAATAAATGTTTTGAATGATTTTTTGCCAGACTGAGTCTGATATGGATTCCTCCAAGTCCATTTCCCATTTCAATTTCTAAAACTTTATAATAATAAAACTTTTCCCATGTATTAAATATTAGTAACAACATTCACTTTAAACACTTCAGCTGCCCAACTTTTAAGGTTATTTTCCATAATATTAATTTAAGTTTCTTACTCTTGAGCATTAGTGTGGCTAAAACCTCGACATGTAAGGAACACTCACTATATAAATTCCAAAAACGTTCAATACAAGAACAACTGGACTTTATTTGTAACAGAAGACGTTTCCCTCCTCATCCGAGGAGCTTTCTCAATTCAAAGAGCAGTGAGTGAGGGGTTCAGGTTATAAGGCTGAGTGAGATAAGACACACATACATATCACTCAGCACATCCCACTCAGCCTTATAACCTGAACACCTCACTCACTGCTCATTGAATTGAGAAAGCTCCTCAGATGAGGCGCGAAACGTCTTCTGTTCCAAATAAAGTCCAGTTGTTTTTGTATTGAACGTTTTTTGAATTTATCATGTCCCTGATGACTGAGAATCTTCACCAGCATATTCACTACATACTTACCATACCATACCATACCATTTTATTTATAAAGCGATTAAAACAGCAACAAGGCCAACCAAAGTGCTGTACAGACAAAACAACAGGTAACACACAAAGCAAAATACAAAATGAGGTAAATCAGAATATAGACAAAAAACGATGCAGATAATGACGACAAACCAGTGTAGAGCATACAGGTTCAAAACACAGATCATCTTGTGTTGAAAGCTATTGAATAGTAGTGAGTTTTTAAACGGGACTTGAAAACCGAGAGGGAGGGGGCCTGTCTGCCAAGCAGAGGTAACTCGTTCCAGAGTCTTGGTCCTGCTACAGAGAAGGCCCTGTCACCTCTGCGCTTAAGACGAGTTCCTGGAACTGTGAGGAGCAACTGGTCCGCTGACCTCAGGGAGTGTGGTGGGACATACGGTTGTAGCAAATCAGAGAGATGG